CCCCAAAAATAGAAGGTCGAGAAGAAATACTAAAATCTGGTTCATTTGCTGAGTTTCATGCATCAATGACTCACAATGGGATGGGTAAGAGCTCTCCAAAACACTACCCGTAAGTAAGGGGTACTAGTTAACAGCTAACTGGCCAAACATATCCACCACTAATGCAATTGCTGCATCGGAGTTAGCATCCTGGTTTGACGGAGAATTCCACTTTTTCCTCTCTTCCCTCGATCAAACCACTGCCAGAGCTTTCTAACGAGGAAGGAGAACCTTGTACTTAATGCGCCCATCTCAAAAGTTTCGTTTGTTTTGTTTTTTGGATGATTTTTTCATAATATTAAAATAATAACTGTCCTATCTCAGTATATTTTTTTATATTTTTAATATATTTTTTTAAATTTTCAATACAAAAAATACGTAAAAACACATATTAAAAAAACCAAATAAACGTAAGAGTTCGTATGTCCCTAATAGATTAGTAAGTTATCAACTTTTCTTACTCATCATTAATTTATTTCTCTTACATCCTTTGCCAATCATAATGCACATCATCACCTTGGGCAAAAATAAATAAATAAATAAATAAATAAATTAAAATAAACTAAGGATATAGAAGGATTTTGTGATACTAGAAAATTAAATGAACTCTATTTTTAACTGAAAGCGTCACGCTTTCAGTTTTCACGGTCCAGTAAATTTCTAAGGATTCTACGCTTTCTGTAGTTCTATTTATTTTTTATTTTTTTTTTATTTTTCCGGGAAGAGTTTCTCTACAGTCTCCATCTTCTTTCCCTCTTCCAAGTTCACAAGCAAATCAAATATAATTTTAACTCCCACGAAACTAAAAGTCATCGCAATCTTCTTCCTCCATAGCAACAATCATCCCAAGCATCATCAAGCAATCAATTTCCCACGCTATAATGTAAGTGCACGCTAGAACTTGCTTTTTTTTTTTGTTGGGTTTGTTTTTGGGTTCTTGTTAAAAGGATCAATGTCCATATTGTGTTGTTTGCGAAATATTTGCACCTGAATTCAATTTGTTCTTTTTCATGTTTTGATGCAAATTCGGTGTAAAGGGCGCAAGAGGAAGTTGCCATGGCAGCAATACAACACGCACTTAGGGCGCTTCGGAAACGGCATAAGCTGGAAGAAGGGGCACATGCCCCTGCTATTGTAGCTATCTCTAGGCCTATTCTTATTCAGGTTCAAAACCCGTCTTCGAAAATTCAAATTACTCGCAGTAAAGGGCTTTTTTTTTTTGTTTTGATTTATATGTCGGTTATTGGATTCTTGTTGGTTGTGTTTGAAAAGTTTGATTGAAATTAGGAATGGTTTTTATTCTGTCTTGATTCGTCGATTGTAAGATGAAAGTGAATTGTTTTTGAGTCATTTCAGAATCTTCCGTTTCTTACTTAGATTGAAACATTATAATGTTGGTGATTTTATGAAATTTTTTGTGTATTGTTCATAAATTCTCTCTACTCATGTTTAGCCTCTTTGATGTTCAATGGCATAAGGAGATACTAGTTTTATGTGGTGATACTGTACTGTAGTGAGCCCCTTTTTGATCACTACTATTTTTGGTTCCTATTTTTGGTTCCTAAGATATAGTTGGCTGATCATCATAGTCCTTTTCAGTTATGATTGATGTGAAGATCTTTTTAATTTTAATGGAGATATCTTAATTGACTTTTGTATGCATTAGGGCTCAGAATGGAAGGAGAAAGCTGAAAGTCTTGAATCGGAGCTTCAGCAATGTTACAAAGCTCAAGCTCGATTGTCGGAGCAGCTTGTTGTTGAAGTGGCTGAAGCCCGAGCTGCAAAAACTTCAGTTCAAGAGAAAGAAGCCCTTGTTGTCAATCTACAGAATGAGCTTGCCCAAGCAAGGTCTTTTATCTATCTCAATAGATTTTCTTTGGTCAGTATTAGTGGATATTTCAGTTTTCCGTGGAATGAAGTTAATGGATTTGAGTTCATTAAACTTCGGTTACTGTAGGGATGAGTGTACTCGGCTGACTGCACTTCTAGAAGAAAAGACCAAAGCTTTAGAAATCATGATCAGTGAGCACCAGGACATTAAAAAGCAATATGAAGTGGAAAAAGCTAGAGCTGACAAGTTGCAAGAGGAAAATAAGAGGTTCATTGATCAACTTTTGGCCCAGAAGATGCTAGATGCTGAACGGATTAATGAGGTACTGTATCTGTTTTCTGAAAAATGTATTTTCACTGATGTTTTGATTCATGTGAGATACTTGAGTTTCTGTTGTGCGAAATGAAAAATGAAGAGTATGTTTTGCATTTTTGCATGAATCTATAAAAGTTGTGAGTTCCTCTAACCTGCTGGGGGAACTCAAACCTTTTCCTCCTCCTCCAAAATTCTGAATGTAATAAGAAAAGTTATGGTTAGATAATTTTGACAAGGCATTCTGCTTTGATAATTTTGGATCTCTATTTTCATCTGAAGTATTTCGCATTGTTAGTCATAAGTATGATGATTAATCAGTTCAGTAATTGCTCTGCTTTTACTTGCAATATATATGTAAAGTTAACCTTTGTCTCAAAAGCTGCCTTGCAAAACATTGTGCTTGGTTAGGACAAGCTCAATGTCATGACCAGAAATTAACCAGAAATGTTGCATTCGTAATGTTGAATTAAGTATTAAGTTGGATGCCTGTGAATTTGCTTTATGTACTGCGGTTCTGTACCAGATTAACTGATATTTGTTTGTATAGCTCAATGCCATGTATGAAGATGTGATGGAGCAGGTGAAGACCAGTAATATAGTGAGGCTGGCTCGCCAACAAGTGGACGGTGTAGTCCGACGAAGTGAAGAGGGTGCCGAGTTATACGTTGAGACTACTATTCCCAGCACATGCAAGCAACGGATCGCTGCACATCATGGGGGGTGTGCTGCCATAGCCTTTGAATCTAGTTCTTCAAGATTGTTTAGTGGAGGCCAGGATGGGGAGGTAAAACTGTGGGAAACCAGTACAGGTAGCCTAATACGCACTTTTAAAGGGTGTTTGGGCTCTGTTCTTGATCTTGCTATCAGCAATGATAACAACATTCTCATAGCAGCAAGTGCTTCAAACAACTTGTTTGTGTGGGATGTAGAGTCTGGCAGAGTACGGCATACTCTGACAGGGCATGTGGACAAAGTATGTGCTGTGGATCTTAGTAAAGTTTCAAGCCGCTATGCTGTTAGTGCATCTTATGATCATACCATAAAAGTATGGGATCTGACCAGGGGCTATACTGAAAATACCATAATGTTCCCCAGCAAATGCAATGCTGTTTCTATGGGCACAGACGGACAAACAATTTGTACAGGACATGTGGATGGAAATATCAGGCTGTGGGAACTTCGAACTGGTAAACAACTAAATGAGATTGCTGCACATTCAAGTGCTGTTACATCATTATGCACATCAAGAAGTGGCAATTTACTGTTGACTAGTGGGAGGGACAACGTGCACAATTTGTTTGATATGCGTACTTTTGAAGTTTGTGGCTCATTTAGAGAGGAAGGCAATAAAGTCGCAACTAACTGGAGCAGATCTTGTCTGAGTTCAGATGAGAATTACATCGCAGCTGGCTCCACAGATGGATCCGTTCATGTTTGGTCAGTGTTAAGTGGTAAAATTGTAAGCAATCTTAAAGAACATAAGCATCCAGTTCTGTCCTGTACTTGGAGTGAACTTGGAAAACCTCTAGCTACATCTGATAGGAATGGTGTGATTTGCATTTGGTCATGATGATAGGATACAATCTTGCAAGAGTTTTTCTCATTCTTGATGTTAACGACATGGTGTTTTGTACATTCTGCTTGATAGATCTTCTGTAACTTTAGGCGTTTTCAATTTGCATTTGGAACGACACATCAATATTAGTGACTCATTTGGAAAAGGTTGACATTGTAAATTTGTAGGAGCTCTTACTACTGAAATACCTGCAATTTATTTATCTGTCAGTTCTTTTGTGTGTGTGTGTGTGTGTTTTTCTTTTTTTTTTTGTGTGTTTTTACTCCCTTTCCTTCAGCGCGCTTCTAGATGGTGTTTAAAAATGTTGGATCCGGTCAACATAGATGAAGAGTCAATGTCGTCATCGAAGGAGAAAGGAGAAAAGTTCTGTGCCATTGTGTTGTACAGGCTTCCAAAAGCTCCAGCAAAGGTGAACTGTTGCTCCAAGTGAATTGTGCACACAATTGTTTTGAGTCATTTTTTCCAAATAATATGTATTTGAGTCAAAATTGTATTTGATAGCGAAGACCGATTCGGCTCAAACTAATTTCAAACGATTGTGTGATATTCTCGAAATCCGGAGTCCAATCGTTAAAATTGTCTAAAGATGTCAAAGTCTTCAACTCGCAACAAGGTTGAAAGTTCAAGTGTTTGATAATGAAATAATGAAGAATTTCGAAAAGACGAATAAAACGGCCAATCAAGGCCAGTTTTATTAAATTGATGAGAAACGAATCAGCTGTGAATAGCCAGAAACGTCAAACCTTACAAGAATTAACACTAAAAAATAAAAGAATACATGAAAGCCTGAAAGGAAAATAAACGATAAAAGCTATAAAAGAAACTGAGAATATGATTTCTTGTGTGATGAATTGTGTCCTTCGCCGTCTATCCTTTATAGTTTTTATAGGAGGTTCGCCAACCCTAGTTGGAATGCAACCAAAGTTGAATCTAGTAAGGACTTTTGTTGCGGCTGGAATCTTTCTCCGACAAGGGCTGTAGTGTCGACATCTCCTTCTCGAATTTAAATTACTGCCCGCTATTCCTTCTTTGAACAATAATGCAGCGAGCTAGACCGGTTTTATTTTCTCCATTATTGTTGCTGCAATCGGCCCAACTCATGTGGACCGGATTTGCCAAAATCGGTCCAACATAAAGCCCCCCGAAGGAAGCAAATTTTGGGCCAAAAAGACAAAAAGCAAAAATTACTTGCCTTACTGCCCAATTCTTTCTTCAGCCATATAAAGTGGGACGATCTAGCAATAAATCCGCCGAGCAGAAAAAATGATCGGCTCAGGAGCCCCCTCCCCCCAGCAAAGGCGCATGTGCAGAAACGCGTGTTTGCTAAAGGCTTACTGACTCCGCGTTTTTTGAGGGGTTGATTGGTTTTGAAATCACTGGAGTGGTGACGGAGAGAGAAAGAAGAGGATAGAACTACTTCAACAGCTGTTTTTCTTCTTAACGGAAACAAAATCCTTTCCGATTCCAAATCACTATCGAATCCAAATCTGTTACAAGATTTTATATTAAATCAATAGGTTTGCCAAAGCCAAAAAATCCCATATTAGCCTATTCGACTCTGAACCCAACAATCTGAATTTCAACAAATCAGTTGGAAAAAACCCTTGTCAAATCAAACTCTCACTTGCTGTTGTTGCAATCTGTTGAAGAAGGAAAGAATGGCCGGAACACGTGACACTAACCCAATGGCCTATGACAAGACCAAAGCAGCAACCCATGGTGTAAACCCAGGAGATATTGATTTCTTGCAACCATACGAAGAACAAGTGATGCTGCCATTCAACCCGTCTACTCGCCACTTTACTCTGGGTCTCAATTTCCCATCGGCACTGAAAAACCTAAAGGAGTATATCCCGATTTTGAACCCAGATGCTTCCTATCACAAATATGAGAATCCCTGCAAGTTTGAGAATTTTGAGCGGATCCGGGTGTGGCCATTGACCGACAAGCCGGAATATGGAGACACCTAGAGAATGGCTGGGATTTACGATTTGATGAAGTTTTGAACCATCGGGCTTGGGGGAAGTCAGGATTTTGTGGAGGCCGGGCTGGGTTTCTGGAGTGGCAGCAGCAACATGTTCTGCTTCCCCTGGGGGCCGATGACACCCACTCTGTTCGACATTTGTGTTATCACAGGTTTGCTTGTTGTTGCAGCCGTAGCTGTGGATGGTAATGTAACAAATGATGATGCAGCTACAACAGTGGCAGGGTAACCAAGGAGTTATGGTCCCTTTATCAGTGAAAATAAAGGGCAGACGAGTTGCTTGCACCATATTCGTTTTCTAGCTCTGTGGTTGAACAAGTATGTTTTTCCTAGTAAATCTTTCCAAATGACCATGGATTGGTATCATGTAGCTGGTAGATTGGCTGCTGGAATTCAAATGAATCTTGCTGAAGCGGCTCTAGCAATGCTTTATCACTGTTTACATGAAGCTAGGTATAATCCTGGTTCAACTTTATATGGTCCTGTTTGGTTGTTGCATTTTTGGTTGTACTTGTACTTTCCTAGCTTGAAACCAGAAGGAATTTTTCCTGTTGAGAATGGAGAATCGTTATGTCTGGGGGTGCATCAATACAACAAACCTACTTTCGAGGGAACACAGGCCTTCAAGACTGTCTTTGAGTCAACCCCAGAAATAGGTGTGATGGTGCAACAACTCAGTCACGACTGGTGGCACAAAAGTTTTGGCGACATCAGTCATGCAGAAGCAGAAAGTGGAAGGTGGGATAATATTGGTACGTTTAGCTTGACATCAGTGTGGAGCCATCTGCTGTCAGCAAGGGATATCTTCTATGGTAGCAAAAGTGCGCAATCCCGAAATGTTGTTGCGGATATGCACGCAGAATATTATCCAGCTAATATGGTCGCTAGCCAATTTGGTTTTGCCCAAAGCATGTCACACTTTGAAGTATCTGGTTGGAACACAGGAAGACTTGGCAGGGAGAAATTGACCATGGTGCAGTATACAGCCCACAGAGAATTGATGGCTATTTCGGGGCAGAACTTCGCCTATAACTCCCTTACAATTTTGTTTCGAAGCAACACCTAGTTTCAAAGAATGGTGGGGTCAATTGTCAAGTACTATGTATGGCTCTGGATGTGATGCAATCAATTCTGCATTTCGCATTGGGAAATATGCGAAAACCAAGGCTGCTATTGTTGAAACAGCATTAGAACCGAAAGGTTAGTCCTCTTCTGTTACTGGTTATGGTTTCAGATATCGTTGAAATGAACTTCTGAACTTTGTCTGTATAGGGAAAGGTAAAGGTGGTGCCAAAGCAAAGACTGGTGCACAAAAGGGCAAGAAAACCACTGTTGTTGCAGGAGGCAAAACTAAACCAAATTCTACAAAGGGAGCACCAACCTCAACTCACCGTTCCAGTAGTCTAAATCGGACAGAAGCGTTCTGCAAGTGAAGCCAGTAACAAGGTAAGGCATCATAGTCAACTTTGTTATTGTACTAGATCATAAGTCATAGGAATTTATGATGTGGTTGTTGTGTGGCAGGGCTACCCGGTTACTGTTCATAATAGTGAGGAAGACTCTGACAGTTAGGAAAGTGAGAAAGGATCTGTTGTAGGTGGTGAAAGCATTGTTGCCAAGAGAGCAATGTTTGAGATTGGTGGATCCAAGGGAAAGAAAAAATTGAGAACAACCAGTTCATCTACCCAACCGGATTCTGTGAAAAAAGCTCCTCCATCTGTGGTAGCTCTATTGGCTCGTCTAGAACAGACCAAGGCAGTGGCACATGTGAAGGTAGACGTGGCAACTAGTTCCCCTGATATCCCATTAGGTATTGCACTGCAATAGATTACTGAGATGTTCCAACTTCCAGTAGAGGAAGTGTACGGTAAAAGGTATGATCAATTGAAGATATTGTTATCTGCCATTCAAAACTCTCTTGTGGATGACAGTATGGCAGCAACAATTCGTCTGGTGTCAGGGGAAGCGGCCCAAAAACAGATTGAGTGTCAAGTTTGCGTTCCACATATTGAAGAATATCAAACTGCCTACGGCCTGCAAGAGAAGAACAAAATGCTATCAGAACAATTGGTCGAACAAGCAGCGCAACTTGAAGCTGAGATCAAGAAGACAATGGCCGAAGAAGCGGAGCTCAAGACGCAGCTGGGAAAAGTTCAAGCCAAGCGACAGGGTTTGGAAACCAATTTAGGTGCTATAATTATGGATACTGATGTTGTACTTGGGGGATACATGAGAATGACTGATATTGTGAACAAGCTGCATCCAAAAAACCAAGATACTTAGAAGGTTGTGGCGAGAGCATAGACAAGCTGGAATTTCCTGAAGAACACATTACCCGTCTGATGCAGACTGTAGGAATAGCACCTAATTCTCCGTCTGTAATGGAACAAGTGCATTCAGAATGTCCTGAGGAGGTTCCAACCAAAGGAGGAAGTGTTGCACAAGAATACACCTAGCAAGATGCGCCCCCCAATGATGAGGAGCCCTAAGACGTCCATCCTTTTCAAAGCGTAACCGGCATCTCCTCCTTCTTAAACCAATTGCATCAGTACTGTTTATGGCTGTAACTCGCTCTGTCGTTGTGTTATTTTGATTGGTGTGGTTGTTGCAGCGACTTTGTTCCTGCACAAAAACAAACTTTTTTTTGTGTTAAGAATAACATGTTTTTGCTTCTTAATGATATCTGGTAGTAGCAATATCCCTCGCCAGTTGGTTCTCTTCCGTATTGAGTTGATTCCATGTGGTATCAAAGTACTTGCATAGGAACGTAGCATTTATAGATCTGTCTGCAACTGTACCATCTAAATCTTTCAAAACATAGACCCCACGCCCCAAATGTTGGTGTATGATATAAGGACCTTTTCAAGTAGGACTCTATTTACCATAAGTACGATCTTTGTACCCTAAAGGCAAAACTGCTTTCCATACCTTAGTACCAACATTGAAGTATTTGTACCGAACAAATTTGTTGTAAGCACGGATAATTCCAGCCTTCCGGTGGATAATATTAGCTGTTGCTGAGTTTCGGCTATGAGACAACCTCTCTTGATCAACTTGCATAACTGTTGCATAGTCTGCTGAATCCAAAGGAAACTGCTGATTAACTCTGAGAGAAGGTACAAGATGTTCAATCAGCAGAATGGCGTCATGACCATAAACTAATTCATATGGAGTCGTCTTGGTACTACCCCGCTGCGTCACTCTATACGCCCATAATGCTTGTCGCAATACATCATGCCACTAACTTGGACTCTCAGAGATTGTTTTTTGGATGATCCCTTTTAATATTTTGTTTGTAGATTCAGCCTGCCCATTCCCTTGTGCAAAATATGGTGATGAATGTGTGAGAGTGAAACCCATATCTTTAGCAAACTTCATCATTTCTTGGCCCACAAAGTATTGTGCCTGATCTGTAATGATTGTTTCAGGCACTCCGAACCCGTAAATGATATGTTCCTGGAGGAAAAATATGATCGCCTTTTGATCAACATCCTTCAAAGGTACCGCTTCTACCCATTTAGTGAAATAATCTGTTGCGACCAAAACATATCGGTGCCCAGAAGAGGATGGGGGATGTATCATGCCAATAACATCAAGAGCCCAACAGCGAAATGGCCATGGTTTGACTATTAACTGCATTGGTTCAGGGTGTGTATGCGGGGATGTCAGTATGTTTCTAGCAATCAACACAACCCTTAGCAAAGTTGATACAATCCTGAGTCATAGTGGGCCAAAAATAACCATGACGTTAGAGCAACCAAGCCATTTTTCGTCCGCCTTGATGCGCGCCACAAAATCCTTCATGCGTCTCCAACATTAGCACTGTGTACTCTGGCTTTCCTAAACACCAAAGCAACACCTCATCAGCTGTTTTTTGATATAGTTGCCCTTGCACCAGAACATAATTAGGTGATTGCCACTATATAGATAGTGGTGTATGATGTTTTGGTTCCTGTTAGAACTTTATGATTGGTGTACGCCAATCATCTATTGTAATAACCGTTGTAGCAGAAAAATCCACTTCTAGTGGATATCGAACATATGCTGGAGCATCAAATTCCATCGTGTCATAGGTAATATCTGGAGGAAGCGGCGTTTTAAGATACCCCCAGGCTAACTGCGCTATGTCATTGGCATCATCATTGAATTCTCTCTCAACATTGTAGAATTCAATATGTTGAAATTGAGATGCAATGATATCACCAACCGCAGCATACTTGGACATAATGTCATCATTTCTATCCATTAAATTCTTCATCTACCCAACCACTAAAGCAGAATCTCCGATGACTTTAGCACAGGTTGCACCATTATACAACAATGTTGGGAGAGCATGGATAAGACCTTCATACCCTGCCTGATTATGAGTTGCTCGGAAATTCAAAAGAATCTGGAAACACACCTTCTGTCCTTGTGGAGATGTAACTACTATACCTATGCCACTACGCTTGAAAGTTCTCGATCCATCGAAGTGCATTGTCCATAATGGTTCTTCTATTTGGTGTACTTGAAATGACTTAATGAATTCACTATCGCAATCATCATCAAGAGATGGGTGTGCGGCTAGGAAATCTACAAGTGCTTGTCCTTTTACTGCTAATTGAGGCACATGTTGAAATTGATAGTCCATCAAAGCCAGAACCCATTTTCCTATTTGGCCACTCATCATTGGGCGATATAACATGTATCGGACCAGATTTACTTTGCTAATGACACAAACTAAACCCGGAAGCATATAATGGCACAACTTAATCGCAGCAAAATATAACGCTAAATACAATTTTTCAATTGGAGGATACCTGCGTTCTATGTCTGTAAGCATTCTGCTTAAGTAGTAAATGGCTCTTTCAAATTTTTCTTGGTCATCTAGAGCTAACAAACAACCCAACGACTCTTCTGTTGCGGACAAGTATAACTTCAGTAGTTTGTTCTTAATAGGTGCAACCATCACTGGAGGAGTCGATAAGGCCCATTTGATATCCTGAAAAGCTTGTTGTTGCGCTTCTCCCCACACAAATTCTTCGGCTGCTTGAACCTTTAACAGTTGAGAGAATGGTTTCAGCTTCTTGGATAAATTGGAGATAAATCGTCAAAGGAAATCGACTTTGCTGATTGGACTATATAATTCTTTCTTCGTCCGTGGAGGTCTAGCTTCTATGATTGCCTTTGATTTCTCTGCATTGACCTCAATGCCCCTAGAATGGACGAAGAAGCCCAAAAACACACCGGAAGTCACAACAAATGCGCACTTTAATGGGTTTAACTTTAACTTATATTTTCTCATACACTCAAAACATTGACTTAAATGTTGTAAGTGGTCTGAAAAAGAATGTGACTTCATCACCACATCATCGATGTAAACCTCCAAGACATTCCCAATTAGATCATGGAAAATACAGTTCATTGCCCGTTGATAGGTTGCTCCAGCATTCTTCAACCCAAATGGCATAACTTTCCATTGGAAAATCCCCAGGGCGCTTGGCGCACGGAAAACAGTCTTGTGAACATCTGCAGGTGCTATGAAAATTTGATTATACCCTGCATTTCCATCTACAAAGCTCATGATTTGAAAGCCCATCAACCTATCAATTAGCGTTTCTGCAATTGGCGTTTGATACTAATATTTTGGTGAAGCCAAATTAAGATTACAAAAATTTTTACAAACTCTTGGTTTGCCATTTTTCTTGACAACTGGAACCACATTAGACAACCATTCGACATGTACTGCAACCTCAATAAAGTCAACCGCTAACAAGCGTTCAATCTCTTCTTTAACTTTGCTAACAACGTCTTCTGAAAAACGCCGTGGTGGTTGCTTGAATGGCTTAAAACCCTTTCTTAGAGGAATACTGTTCTCTACTAAACTGCGGTCTAAACCTGACATCTCTATGTAGTCCCATGCAAAATAATCACGGTATTGTTGCAATAAAGCAATCAGTTGTTTCTTCTCATTGGCTGTCAAGGAAGAACTAATGTAAGTAGGTTTATTCTCGCCTGATGAACTCAGATTTACTGCTTCGACTGGTTCTTTAGTGACAACCGTGTCATCACTTAATTTTGGTATGGCAGTAGCCAACTCATTCAGATCTATTACGTCGCCGTCAGAAACTGGATCCACATCATATATTACCTCGTCCTAACATACTGTAGGCATTTCAGCCTTCTGTCGGCGTTCATCTTCAAAATACTGCAATACAAGCCTGATTGCTTTCTGCTTCTCCCTTGCTTTTAACAGTTCACCATCTAACTCGTCTGTATTCAAAACTTGCAACTGTTCAATTGTCTTCATTGGAAACTTCTTCAATAGATGGTGCGGCTGGCAACGGTCTTAACACGTTATAATTGTACGGCCTGTTGACTTCTTGCCAAAGTAACTTCCATTCTGGAAGATTCGTATCTCTACGCATATTGGCTTGCTTTGGCCTAACATACTTGTCCATACCTATAAGGGGATACGGACCTACTTCACTGTAATAATAGTAAGCTTCTACAGTGTTAGCTTGTGCTGCGAATGGACTCGTATCAGCTGCACTGATTTCTGGACCCTTTTTTCCCCCACAAAATGATTGCCTGATGTAGAGAAGAAGGAATACAACTTGCCGAATGAATCCAATCTCGTCCCAAAAGGGCATTGTAAGAAACTTTAATGTCGACCACAAAGAATGCGGATACTACCATCTGTGATCCTACTTCAACTTGCAATGGTAAAATACCTTTGGTACTCGTGACATCTGCTGTAAATCCACTCATGAAAATTTCAGTGGGCACCAAGTCTTTTAATTGCTTACCTAGCTTAGGTAAAGCCCTTAAAGGAAGAATATTTATAGCTGCGACATTATCCACCAACACACGCAGTAATGGGATTCCATCCATAACCGCGCAAATATACAACGGCCGAATATGAGAAGCAGAACTCTCTACTGGTTGGGAAAGCATAATAACTGGATTCTTTCCTTCCTGTGACAATAATTGAATCCCACTAACCGTAGTGTCATATGGTTTCGTTACAAATGAGGTTGCTTCAGGGAGCACTACTTGGGTTGCAACAGTTTTAGGAACTAGGGCTGTTGTAGACGTAGGAGTCTTCAAACAGAAAGACTTCGGCAATGTGTACACCATGTTTACTGGCAGGAAATAAATATATGACTTTTCCCACAATTGCGATCGTCTTTCTTCTTGTCCTGAAAACCTGATTATTGGCCTCTCTTGCCGGACTAGTGATTTAATCCTCTCAAGTACGTGCTCCTTTTCTATTTCTACTCTTGTTCGCTTATTCAAAACCCGTTGCCATCGACATTTTTGAGTCCTAGTCATCTTTGTTCCTGTTAACGCTTGACTGGGAAATTTTGGGTGACTCACAAGATGCCATTCTTTATCATGGGTAGGCGCTGCTCTAACTGCCTTGGGTGCAACATTACTCTGTGGCACTGGCCTTTTAACCCGTTGCCAGCCTGATGGCCGGCTATCCTGACCATGGTAGTGTCTAACAACCCTGATATTACCAGTAGGCTTCTCTAATCTTGCATGCACAGGTAATCACAGTTGAACTGGAGGAGTTACTTGCCGTGTGGCTGTACATTGTGTATTCGGTTGTCAGTTTTGATTCAAAGCATGCAAAATAGCATCTGACACAACCCTTAACTTCTCTTGTTCTGGATCTAAATGTGCATCTTTTTGTACCCAAGTCTGATTTTGTCCGTTGATTACAATGTTTACTTCTGTTGCAGCTGAGCGCAGACTTTGTCGGTGTAAATGTCTTCCGAATTTAGACCCTAACTCATGGAGCTATCTTTTCACTTTGTTAAAGACTTTGTCACAATCCTCACAACCTGTGATCTGGCACGCATCGGAGGTGTGACTTCCAAATCCTAAATCAACCATTCAGACTTGGCACTGTTGCGGGAAAGGATTAGTATTCATTTCAACTGGATCCTCTACTATCACATTACCATCATCTATCATCTTCTGAAGCTTGTTACGGAATACTACACAATCATTTATGGTATGAGTCCATGACATATGATACTTGCAATAGGTCTTCCCCGCAACATCTGCTGGCTTTGGTTGTCGGTATCCTTGCTTGTACTGCATATGGCCCTTCTTAAACAAATCATCAAAGATGGCCTCTTGCTGAGAGATGTCGAAGGAATATACTCGTCCGATATTAGCTTCGTTGGCTTGTCCTGGAGTTCCTGGCGGTGCTCCTACTGGTGGAGGAGTGTTATAGGAATGCGGCATTACAGGTCAACGTAATGCATCACACGTATAATTTCGGACATTGACGATCTTAGCAGCATTAACATCATACTCATCATCGTCTTCATCATGCACCCAATGATTTTGATTAAAAAACCACCATCGGATTCTTATTGAACCATTGCTTTGCCTTTCTCGTATTCTTTTCTCTTTTATCCCGGATTACTTTCTCACACCGTCTTACAATATCTACTAAGTGATTCAAAGATCGGACGGAATGCAGTGCAACAGCTAATTTTACCTATTAATCTTGGGTTCCCGCGATCGCCATCTTAACGATGGTCAGTTCTTCATATTTATTAGGTATTTTAGCATATATCTGACGGAACCGAATTATGTATGCTTCTGCAGTTTCTCCAAACTTCTGCCAGATCTTTGACAAATCAACAATTGACAATCGTGCAGTGTCCTTGCGAAAATATGATAAGAATTCTCGTTGCTGGATATCCCATGAAGGAATGGACCCTGGCGATAGTAATCTATACCAATCGAATGCAGTCCCTTTTAAGGAATAAGGGAACAAATGCAACTTGATCAAAGCATTTTTGCTTACTAAACCGCATTGCAACTCAAACAGATTTATGTGATCCTCAAGGCGTTTCTCGTCTTCTCCCGAGAACGTTTGGAAATCAGGGATCTTGAAATTTCTCGGCAGTGGTTCCCATTCAACAAAATCTAGATAAGGCTTCCCTGGGACCTCTGGAATCTCTCCACCTAATTCTTTACGGACCATATCCTCTACCATCCTTGAAAACATTTTCTCAGCATTTAAAGTTTGTTCAACACCTACTTCAAAATCTTGTTGCTGATTATCGTTCACTGTTGCATCTAGTTCTTGTCGAAATTCATTACCGAGATCCACTCGGTGACGACCACCTCTTTGACCCCAAATACGTTGTTGTTGGGGATTGTGTCGATTTCCAACATTCTGATTCCCATAAGGTCAACCAGCGGCTTGTGCTCTATTTCTACTCAAAATCTGATTTGCTTCATATTCCATCCACTGTTGTTCTTCCCTAATTTCTTCCACTGTTAGATTTGGTGGAATAATCTATGGATTAGCAACGACGATGCCAGACCCCTGAGGTATGTGAGGATCAACCAAATTTGCAGTTGCAGTAGTACTCCCTGTTACTGGTGGCACAGGACGGTTCTGATACAATATAAAACGACGATCATTACTCCCTTGTGTATTTCAATCAGCTTGCCCTGAAGTCTCAATGACATGACCTTGATTAGCTCCAGCACCAATAGGACCCTGATGGGTCCCTGGCGTTCCTTGTTGTCTATACGTTAGTCGGGGGATGCCATCTTGCCCAATTAATTAGGGTGGAACCATTATTGGTCCTCGTTGGTCTTGTACCGACAGGATCTGATGTTGAAATGCTGTATTCTACAACTGGAGTTGATCTGTTGCTTGTTCATTCCTTGTAACAATATTTCCTGTTGCAGTGCCCGAATACTGTGCTTCTGAGGTGATTAGCCATGGCGCTTGATATCCTTGATAAGGCATATGCTGTCCCCATGGCGTTCCAAACATCATTACTGCTGGACCATATTGGGGAGACAATGGAGATAACTGACGCCCGTCAAACGTAAAATTCCCTGGCGGCGGAACGAATGCGGGTTGACTTGGAACCAACGGGTAATACCAGCTGTGCATCCCACGACCTGCCATATTTGCAACAGTTTGTGATCCATTATTGTTTGACCCTGTTCCAACATGTTGTATTGGAATTTCCCTTACAGATGGTTGAAATATAGCATTGTACAACAGATTGTTCACCATGTTCACCGGTGGTACTTCCACATGTGTTGTTCCTGCAGCCGTATTGCTTCCCGTCATTGCAAATCCACTGGAACCAACACCCCCTGAATTTGCACTATGATCGATTAACCTCTGAAAAGCGTTTTCAAACCGTTCCACTTGTGAAGCCATAGTATGTTCTATTGCCATAAACCTTTGATGCATCATTTCCGGAGTCATTGGTGGAACCTGATTCGTTTGGCCTTGGTTATGGAATACTAGAACCTGGAATAATGGGCTTTGAAAACCTGGAGCATGAAAACCCGGACTTCTGTAAGACCCAAGATAACTAGATCTTTCTCCAAAAATACTCGATCCAGCACTAGACTGTTGCTGACTGGATTGTCGCCCTATTCCAGTCGATTGATCTGCTATCACTATCGAATACGAATCTACCGCCGACATATACGGGGACGTATTTATCGATAAGAAACTCCCGCTTGGCGCAGAAGTCTGGATCGGCATTGACGCTTGTCCTGTCCACTGCAATGTTGCTGACGACTGAGGCATCGACATCGCTCTTTTGCTTAAACAACGCCTGAAACACGCAAATCGGTCCCACCGAGCGTGCCAAATTTTATGTTTGAGTCAAAATTGTATTTGATAGCGAAGATCGATTTAACTCAAACTAATTTTAAACGATTGTATGATATTCTCAAAATCCGGAGTCCAATCGTTAAAATTGCCTAATGAAGTCAACGCCTTTGACTCGCAACAACGTTGAAAGTTCAAGTGTTTGATAACGAAATAATGAAGAATTTCAAAAAGACGAATAAAATGGCCAATCAAGGCCAATTTTATTAGATTGATGAGAAACGAATCAGTTTTGAATGGCCATAAACGTCAAAGCTTACAAGAATCAACACTAAAAAGTAAAAGAATATATGAAAGCTTGAAGGGAAAATAAATGATAAAAGCTATAAAAGAAACTGAGAATATGATTTCTTGTGTGATGAAATGTGTCCCTTCGCCGTCTATCCTTTACAGCTTTTATAGGAGGTTCGCCAACCCTAGTTAGAATGCAACCGAAGTTGAAAATCTAGTAAGGACTTTTGTTGCGGTGGAATCCTTCTCTGACAAGGACTGTAGTATCGACGTCTCTTTCATGAATTCGAATTACTACCCGCTATTCCTTCTTTGAACAATAATGCGCCGGGCTTGACCGATTTTATTTTCTCCATTATTGTTGTTGCGATTGGTCCAACTCATATGGACCGGATTTGCCAAATGTTCGTATGGGATGTAATGAGATATGGATGTTGATAAGCACAATGTCACCAGAAATAAGCATTCGGCATGACACTAACATTGACCTAACGCCAACCTGCTGGAACAACAAAGTAACACGGCACCCATGCAAAATGAGGAACATCATGATTAAAGCGAGCCCAAATGTTGAATGGGTTCTTCAAAAATAACCTGCTGCGCCAGAACTTCTTGAACTGCGCTGACGCCAAGTATGGTTGCCAATATTGCAACGGCGATTCTTATGTGCTTGTTGGAACTGACCATTATGTACAGGAGAGCTACTATTCTGGCGCCCACTATCATTCTGAACCTGAGAGCTTGATATGGAACTTATACTTTCAACTGCTTCCTTAATCGTCCACAAGTTACTAGCATTTGCAACAGAACTTTCTTGAGCGCCGTCGGCCTCATCATCAATTGTCGACACTTCAACACCAGACTTCTTCTCTTGGTCGGCCACACATTGGATAGTTACATCATTATTGATCTTAGCCAAATCACTACTAAACTTAGCATAGACAACCTTGGTCTCAAATGCGTTGATTCTGCTAGGTCGCATGACAAAAGGTGTAAGCATCTTTGACTGATCTCTTGAAGAACGCTTCTTTTCTCGGCCAATTAATGATTTCAGCAACTCACGATCTTTAGCCAAATCAATCCTCCATCTTACAGCAGCACCATAATCCAAATAAGCATAATTACTATCGCCACCTTCAAAATCAATGCCACGTAATTGATGACCATCATCAACCTTTTCTACGAAGTGAAAACCATGCGGTATTGGCTTCCCTTTATTCCGCTTGCTTCTTCTGCTGGCAGAACCTCTCTTGTCATAAATCCAAGCATGATTAAACTTCTGCTTAACTGGCATAGAATCTGTTGCATCATTAACCAATTCGGCACTATTGTTGCACCGCTGATTTTAGAAGCCATCATTAGAAACTCCAACCTGTTGGTCTGCTTCTGCTTCTTTTAGAACATCAGCAACTAAGCGTTGTGCGGGTTCAACTGTCAAAGATAAATTGGCATCAGGTGTTGCCACTTGTCCTTGCTCCTGCTCACCCTTAATTTCATCGACACTTTGACAAACAGAATTATCAGTTGCATGTGAAACATTGTCAAGGCTATCACAAATAATCTCCTCAATATCATTGTCGCTGCTAGAAGACTCATAAGATTTCCTGCAATCAACCTCGACAGACTCGTTTTAAACAATAACAGGTTCATTAGACAAACAAAATGAATCAATATGCACACAATGCTCAATAACAACTATAGTTTCAGTAATCGGTAATGATTCACTCGCCGAAACTGTATATAATTGCTGTGACACCTGTTCCTCTGTAGCGACAAACGCTTGTTGGGGGTACTTAGACTCTTTCTGCAGGTCTTCCCCAACCTTGCCACATTCAGCATCAAAATCACTAGTAACCCCCCAGGTGTCGATGATAATCTGTCACAGAACTTTCTTGCAACTGATCTGCTGTTGCAACTGAACTTTCACTTGCTTCTTGCGTCTGCTAAGTTTGCTGTACCACCTGCGAATTCTGTACCTGTGGTAATACTTGGTCATGATATTGTGCCGACGAACCCTGATGTTGCTGCGCCGATGATTCTACTTGTTGATGTTGCACCGACAGCAATTGTTGTTGATGTGTCGACGGCAGAACTTGCTGACATTGTGGCGACAGAACCTGTTGTCGCAGCACCTGTATCTAAACTTGCAGATGTTACAGTGACAAAAGCTGCTGCTGCACCGCCTGCATCTGCACTTGCTGATGTTTCAGCGACAAAAACTGCTGCTGCAGTGCCTGCATCTGCACTTGAACCTGCTGCGGATGCGCTTGCGACGAAATTTGTTGATGTTGCAACGACAAAACCTGCTGTGGTTGTGCCTGCAATAGAACTTGCTGATGCTGCACCGGTAACACCGGTTGTTGTTGATGCACCGGCCCCTGTTGCACCATTCTTTGATCATTATGTGTAACCATTGGAATACCACCAACGGCCAGCCCCCGAATCTTGAGAGATCTTGCACCATAGACCCATCACGCCATCTGTCCACACAACTAGATTGTTGTTTCGCACCATATTGACTATAGGATTGAGAAAAACCGCCATCAAGGGTAACCTGACATCCGATATTATTTTCAGCCCCAAAAAATTATCTGCTACTTGTGAAACTATGGACTGTTGAGAGATATGTCCACCAAGTGGTGATGGACTATAAGAATATAAAGATTGGGAATTATTAGATGACCTATTATTTGGAGAAGAAGTATAGATCGGATCCCTAGAGCTACTAAGACCATAAATATGGTTATTGGAATAATCCACGATAAGAAACAAAATAGAGAATTTTTTTTTAGAGAAGAAAAAGAGATTTTAAATATAGAGATTTTAAGAAGAAAGACCACCACGATCTAGGAATCAAATCAAAGCTTGTCCCACCAGGCGTGCTATTTTTTATGTTTAAACAAAAATTATACTCGGATTGTGGACAGGAGACAGAAAATAAGCCGAGTACAAAAATAAATTAGAGCGACTGTGGATGTGTTTAAACACCAGCCTCGGATCTAGAACCGAGGACTTAGGGTTAACTTTGATTTAATAAATAATAATAAAAATATAGAGAAGAAGCGGGACAAGCGAAAGTGATGGCCTTGAATTGATTAAATCGGGGAGAAATAAAGATATGTAGTGCGGACAAGCTAGACAAGCATGTCAAGGACACACTACTACAAGGAGAATCAAATTCACTGTAGTAAAAAACGATAAATGACTACCTATTTCTAGAAGAAAAACAGGCTAAAAATTATTTAATCTAGATTAAACTAAGAATACATGAATAAAAGACATAAATGAAAGAACGAAAAGAAAGAAAAAATGATAATAGATCGATGATGATGAGTTGAGAAGCAGTTTGGATCCTCTGTAAGAGATTTCCCGGTAAGTCCCTGTAAGGTCTCTCATACGACAACGTTTCATTAATTTTGACTCCTCATATATTTTCTTTTTTCTCTTTGACTTCTGTGGGTTGAGCCAAGCCGAAGTAAACTCCAAATAAAAACGATCCTTGTTGTCATTCAAATTTCGACGAACATTGTTTTATGGTGATGAATTTGGCCGGGGATGCCTGATCTTCAATTACTTTTTTGAATGCCAAAATCGATATCAGTACTCTCCCACTGTTGTTCTGATTTTTCTATCTCCTATTGTTGTTCTGAATTTTTCTATTTGTTAACTAAATGAGTCAGTATATCTAATCAGAAAGAATTTCTCAAGTTACACCAAAAACCAAAGCTAACCGGAGATTGGAGTGGTGCGTGACTCATACTTTTAACTTTCTTTCTTTTCATTGTAGTGACTAGTGATGCTTTATCACTCGTTCAGATATGATGGTTTCACCTCCATTGAGCAAATTAGGGCTTTCAATTCTTGAAGAATTCGCCTAAAAACAATAAATAAGAACTCCAATTTACAATCCCTCGATGAAGTCTATAGAATTTTTCAAACCTTAAATCATTTTGTTTTATGACTATGGACAAGTAAAAAAGTAATTGAAGTAGAGGGAGAAGAACGACGATGGCCGGGGAGTACTACTCTGTATTATTTATTCGGCGGAGTCAACAACGTTTAGTTTTTTATGTCTTGGGAACATCAATTGGCTTGGCTCAAGCCGGTAAATTGAAAAATTACCAGAAATAAAATATTTAGTTGAGTTAAAAAAAACATACAAAGCTAACAACTAAATGAAACGGTGTCGTATAAGAGGCCTTACAGGGACTTCCAGGGAAAGTAGATTAATCTGCTGCACAGACGTCCAAGTATCGGTCGTCAAGTAGATTCTACTACCCAGACCCTTAAGCTCAAGTTTCAATTTTGCTTTTTCAGATAAAAACAGCTTGTAACAGTCATTAGCTACAGTCTGTCTACCCTTAGGAGTAAACAATGGCTGCAACTTCCTAACAAAATACCTAAACCCAGGTTTATCAACAAACCTAAAAGGCAGTTCATCTACTATTATCATACTAATCATTGCCCTAATGATATTAGTTTCATCATACTTCCAAGTACCTATATTTCCCTGTTTTCCCACCCCAGACTCAACAACTAGCTTAGACTGACCAGAATCACGCTTTTGACTTAAATACACTTTACAAGACCCCAAATGGCTATGAAGACTACTTGTGCCATGTTTCTTAGGATCAGCCATATAGGCAGTCTTACAATAACTACACGTAGCCCATACTTCACCATTAGGCAGTGTAGATTTCGAGAAATGAGCCCAGACAACTGACCTATTACGAGTTACCCTGCGCCGCTTAGGAGATTTTTTTACTTTAGCGCGACGGCCTTGACCTTTAGGCTTTTCGTCTTGGTCCTTCGTCTCAATCTGGACATCTACCATCACTGAGTCATTAGTAGGCAAATCTAGCAGAGGAGGCACTGAACTATCCTCCACTTCAATCTCCTCAAGCTCATCGAAATCTTCATCAAAATCAGACATCTAAAACAAACACAAATTAAAACACATTAGTTACAGTTCACAGAAACAACAAGCAACAAATGTATACAGTCACAAATATCTGCAAATTATGTAACTACTAGTCACAAATTTGATGCAACAGAATGACTTTAGACAATTAGACAACTATAAGAATACAAATACAGTTAGTTATGATTCTTACATGCAACTTTGCAATGAATGAAAGAATTAAAGAAGTAACATTGCATCTTTGCAACACAAGTACAACTACAATGTCATTTGCACAACTCAAACAACGACACAAAACAAACACTGGAAACAGTAGAAAGAAATGCCTAGCTAGAGCAGTTACAAACAACACATGCAAGCCTACAGTACCAAACAGTACACAGTCACACACAACACCACTATTACAATCAATAATTAAGGTACAAAACGAAAGGCTATACAACAGTTTCAACAAAAGAAGTAAAGAACCAAATCTCCAAACTTGAAACAGGTGAAAATTTTACCTTATCAAACTTAAATATGAATCCTGGTCCTGCATATTAAAGGACACAAAAAGAAAACTTAGTAAGTAATGCTATATTATTAAAAGACACAAAAACAGTTAACTCTCAGTCCTGAAAATAGTATGATTACAATGACACACAATGTAGTTCACTATCTTCATTGGTTTCTTTTTTTCATCATTGATTAATTTCAGAGTTAAAATTAAAGGCCAAAGTATCAACATAAGCAGATGAGCCACTAAGTTGCAACAATGTAAGACATGATTTCATAAAGACAGAAACTATAACATGCAATACTATAACATGAAAGACAGAAACTATAGCATGAATCAAACACAAGACTTCCAGATCAAACACAAATGCTCAGCAACGACTTACATTTTAATCTTTTAATCAAACCTAAAACTGGTCAGCAAGAATCAGTACAAAACCCAACAAAGAAACCCAAATAGAAACAGGACAACTTCAGACACGAACAGAAAGAAATAGAGAAACAGGACAAAATTTTACCTTATCAAACACGTTGAATATGAATTGAATCCTAGTCCTGTGTTTAAAAAGACAAAAAAAAATCAGTAAGTAAATGCTATCAGACTTCAGTAATGATTTCGTAAAGGAACAAAACAAAGTAATAATCAACAGGACAACTTTCAGTAATGATTTTTTACCCTAGATCTGAGCTTACCTGAGAAAAATCAGCACGGAGCTCCGTCAGCGTCAAAACCCAAGATCTGAGCTATCAGAATGGAATCGATCTGAGCTTCGAACCGTCGCTTTTCAGAGCACTAGAGCAGGAGCAGCATCTCTTTGATGAATCATTTTTTCTTCAAGAAAAAAAAGAAATCGATTTGAAAACAAAACCCTAGATCTGGACCGATTTGTGTTGGTGGTAGATTAGACCGATAACTAGAAGGAAATAGGAGGTGGTGAAGTGGTGTGTGTGATTCTGGTGGTGGATTTGTGGTCGGAAGATGCAGACGGCCGAGAGAAGTCGAGATCGAGAAGAAGAGAAGAGCTGAGCGGCGACCGAGAGAAATGGGGAAAAAAAGAAAGAGGGGAAAAAAAATGAGGCCAACCCTAAAATTTCCAATATATATGAAATACAAAAATTAATAAAATAATAATAAATTAATTAAATCATATGCTATTCGGGTACTCGGACGGGTCCCGAATAATACCGTCTATAACCGAAAACCGACCGAAAAATTATGTCGGGTAGTCGGGTTTTGGTCGAATGTCCCGAATTCGGCAGATTGCCCGACCCGAATAACCCGAAAATGGAACGGGTCGGTCGGGTTTTCGGGTAGCCCCGATTAATTAGCAGCCCTAGTGGACTTTTCCTACATAATCGGAAATTGGCGGATCACAACATGCTGCTCCCTCTCCGAAGTACGTATATAACAAATAGGAGTCCTTACGTGATAAACTTGGGTGGCCAAATCCCATTTGGAGTTGGAAATTAATGTAGCCATGCATTTGAGTCCTAAATAATCTCCAAAACCGTTGCTAGTGTAAAACCCACATGAATCAATCTTCTTCTCGGATAAGATCACTAAAACCACCACATGAAGATTACTTGATTCAAATCTGATTCCAACTCTAATTAAACTAAAAATATATATTTTTGGTGCTAACAATATGTGCAATTTCCCAAAAGTTTTATCAAAGTAAGTAATAGCGAAACAAGTCCAATAAATTTAAATCACTTTTTAAACACAAATTTCAATGTAAAATAGATACCATCTGTATATAGTAATTTTTTAATTTACTTTTTAAATTTATCTTAAATATTATTTTTACAAAATTTTCATCTACCATCACCAGACTATTTCCACCACTGCCGAACCCACACCCGTCATTGGCCGACGGCCGAATTCAAACAAACTTTTGTCATAATTTGGCAGCAATCTAGCCGACTGGGCAGCTGCAGTTGGTGGCGATATGGCAATGATGGAGATAGACTGATGGTGGTGAAGAATAATATTGTTCTATTATCTATATAAATTTTAAAATTTCTACTTAAAACATAATTTAAATTATGATTTAAATCCAAACAAAAAACAAAAACAAAAATGTTGTCTATACAAGCCTGGATCCAACGAGAATTACTTTAGATTTCTAAACTTTTCTAATGATGACATATTAACAACTATTAGTATCAAATTTTTTAAATTTTCGGATGTTAATATATTTTTCCAACAAGATTGGGCTGGACATACCTTGCTTTTGTAGTGCCAACAAAAAAACGTGAAGAGAGTACCATTCACAAGTAGAGTCAAAGAGGAAAAAAGGTGAACTAATTTACGACGTTCGTATTGAAAATAAATTCTTCCACAATTAAAAAAGTACATTTTTTTAAAAAAAAAATTCTCAACATTCTCTCATTGGTATAATTTTATAATTATAACTAGATTCTGGACCCGTGCGAACTGGCATTAGGTATTATATGTTTCGTTTCTCCTTACGAATAATGGGTAGATCGAATGGAATAGGAGTTGAAGTTGTTTGTTGCTTCTTCATGTACGCATAAAAAAGTGTATGATATGCTAATGATAACTAAACATGTACTCGGTGTGGTCCTAATTAAGCTTAGTTTAAATTTATGTCTTGTAGTTAATCCAAAATCCAATTTAGAATCAAGATTGGAGACTGATCTACCTAATGATTTAGTTGTGTAATGAGCGAAACAGCGTCTACATCAACTGAGTTGTTATTATACAAATTAATAACAACAGTAAAAATATATGCGCAGAAATTTTCTCATATGTACTCAATTAATGAAGTAGAACAAACTAAGAACAGATTGAGCAAAGAAATGCAAACTGACATTGAACACTTTGTGATTCCTTCTTGTTTTGCTGCAGTCGCGGTCCATTTTGAGTGTTGGGCCTATTTCCCTCCAATTGGGCCAGCAAAAAGAAAAAATAAAACCAAGCCTTATTGGCTTTGCTTTTGGTTTTCTTGACCGGGGAAACAAACCCAATTCCATTGGGTTTTGGGTTTCGGTTTTTTCATGCTTATAAAAGCAAGGCTTCCGTAGAAGCTTTGGTGTGTTTTCCAGCCAAGAAGAGAAGAAAAGTTTGGACAGCCGTGCGTTATTTTTGTACAAGAGAAAAAGAAAGAAAGCTAGGGTTTAGTTTTCGGTTTAACTCTCTTTTCATTAGATCCTTCTAGTCCTACTTTGTGATAGGTGTGTGCGTGGAAGAGTATTGTTGTAATCCACCTTTGGGTGAAGTCCTGTGTATCCACCGGTTGGTAAAGACTGTTTTCCATTATTGTGATAGTGGAGATTTGACTGTTGTTACAGTCCCGTGGTTTTTTCCGTTTTGGGTTTCCACGTAAATTCGTGTGCCTCTTTTATTTTATCAGTTCTTGAATTATTTTGCTTGTTTGGTTGTCCTATTTTATTGGTAGTAAGAAAGGAGATTTTCTTGGGGTTCGCTTCCGTAGTGTGTTGTGTTTATGCCGTTTCCGCCACAACAGTGGTATCAGAGCTACGGTTCGGTAGTTAAGGTGTTACACCAATAAAATGAAAGAGTCATCGGGTACTGGTACGATGATTAAATTGACTTCATCCAATTATCATATGTGGAAGCCTAGAATGGAAGATTTGTTGTATTGCAAAGATTTGTTTGATCATGTTCTAGGGGATGAAGGTAGGCCAAGTGATATGACTGATAAAAAGTGGGCTGATATGCACATGAAAACTGTTGGTAATATTCAACAATGGATTGATCAAAGTGTGTTCCATCACTTTTCAGGAGAAACAAAAGCTGATGAACTTTGGGAGAAAATCCATAATGTGTACTGGAAGAAGTCCGGCATCGATAAGTCATCTGCGCTGAAACATATTACCAGGTTGAGGTACAAAGATGGTGCTAGCATGAATGAGCACTTGAGTTCGTTTCAGGGTTTGTTGAACCAAGCTGTGAATGTAGGTTTAAAGTTGGATGATGAGGTGCAGGCTTTGTTATTGTTTAGTTCTCTTCTAGACAATTGGGACACTTTAGTAGTGTCAATCAGTAATTCAACCCAGGATGGTGCCTTGACCTTGGATCAGGTCAAAGAGGCTTTGATGAATGAAAAAGTCAGAAGAAAAGAGCAGAGTATTGAGTCTGAGTCACAGGCTCTGGTGATAGAAAAGTTAGACATAAGAGGGAGAAGTAAAAGCAGAGGGCCACGTGATCGGAATGACAAGTCCAGGGGACGGTCTAAATCCAAGAAAGATGTCGTCTGCTACCATTGTCAAGGGAATGGGTACTTTAAGAGGGAGTGCAGGGTTCTTAAGAGAGAACTAGCAGCGAGAAAAGGTAAAGGCAAGAAGGATGAATCAAGTGATGATGACACTACTGCAGTAGTAACTATCAGTGATGTATTTGTGTACTGTGATGATGATACAATTAATGTTGCGAGTCACTACAGTGATTGGTTCGGTGATTCAGGTGCGTCTTATCATGTGACGCCTCACAGACACTTCTTTACCTCTTACACACCTGGAGATTTTGGTCG